CCCGCCGACCTGTGGGGTGGCTCCAGCTGCTGCACTGAGACCCCCCCCGCCCCCACACGTGCACACAGAAGAGAGCCGTCACCCAGGACAGAACTGGGAAGGAATTTAAGAAGAAAATGGGACAGACTGTGGTGATCATGGCAGGGCCTGGCCAGGCAAGCATACTGACCAGCCAACTGTTTACACGGGACCGGCTCTTTTTATCCCCTTACCCCTCTATTTTCCCACACTTGTTCCTTCCCAAATTGCCTAGCTCCATCCCTTTGCCCACTTTTGGTTCTTCCCCTAAACATCCTGTAATAAGCCTTGTGCAATCCCAAACTGCTCTTCCCCTGCATCCCACAATGTGTCCCACACCCCTAGGCAGCAGCCCCCCTCTCAGTCAGAAAGGTGCTCGGGGGTTTGACTCATCTTCATGGGTTTCACACCTGGACAAGGCTCTCCAGGGACAGCCCAGGCAGCAGCCCCCAGAGGATGTCCCTTCCTCCAAGCCCCTAATTTGGTTTCCTGGTCTGACATCATGCCCCTGTGCTCCTTCAGGCTTGGGGAAATGGGCCTTTGATGGGCTGAGGACAGGACATTATTTGGGCTCTTCTGCCTGTCACTGTGTCTCTGTTCTCCTTCATGGGTGTGCAGATGAGCTTCCATCACATAACCTACAGGTTTTCGTGAAATTAAGGTGTAGTAGTGTAGGAAATGCTCTATCTATAGCTGTATTAAAAAAAAAAAAAAGTATCTTTAGATGGTTCTGCTCCCCCCAACTCAAGAACAGTTCCTGTTATCTACTTCTGTCAGTTCATAAAGGAGATCATAATCACTACTTGATTCCCAGTATCTCATAGATAAACACTAAGGATAGATCTGAATGGAGAAGGTATACTCCCTGCCCCCTGCACTCCCCCCCCCCCCCCCCCCCCCCCAAACCAAACAAAAAAATCCCTATCCTTTGAACTGTCACTTCTGTTGGCATTGTTTAAAACTGTTTAATATCTTTGTAGTAGAACTCATTTCTGAAGGTCTACTGTTAAGTTTCCCCAAATGCTCCCTACAGGACATTTGTTAGCAGCCTTACCTAGAATACACCTTATCCTTTATTTAGAGTTATTAAATAGTCCTTTGGAGCAATGAGCAGATGTGCTGAGAATACTCAGTACTTCACCATCACTAAATATCGGGCAAGGTCGGAACTCAAAACTTTCTTACCTAACTACTGTTTTGGGGTAGAAGCTGGTGTCAAACATGCCTGATGTTTCTAGAAACTGTTGCTGATTGTCAATGATGAAGAAACTCTTTGCAGTCACTTACTTAGTGTTACATCAAAACTGGGAGGTGGGAATCACACCTACTTGTTGCTCTCTTAAGAAACATCTTCAGGATAGACTATATACTTCTTAAAAAGAAAAAAAAAATCCCATGCAGCCTTCAAGTGAGAAGGCCAAATTTAGTCTACTTGAACCATAATTGATGCAGTAATGGGAAGTGGTGCTGTCCCTCAGAAAGTCTCAGGCAGAGTCCCTCCTATACACACACAGATTCACTGACCATAAGTGCAAAGCATAGAATACAAGACAGTTGTGGCTTGTTCCATCTTCTTCCAGCAGTGGCACAAAACCTGTTGGTGCTCCTACAGTGAGCCTCTCAATCCATTTCATATTGGCTTAAATATAAGCCAAAGCTCAAAAAAAAAGCTTTTAAATCTGCTTTTGAATAGATGAGATATTTTAGCAAGATTTCTCTCCTCTCTACATAGTGGGACCTGTGCTATTCAAACAGACCAGGCATCATCGCCTATCAAGAGAGGGTTAGGGTAGAGGCAGCTCTCGCACACTCTGATTTGTGTTTCAGATCACAATTTTGACTAGCCAGTCTGGCAAAGAAATGGTAAAGCAGCTGGAAAAGAAGTTAAAAGATGTAGACCTTGTGTGTCTGCGAAGAATACAAGCCATTGAGGTTTTGAAGAGAGACTTTCTGGAGCCTGAGGATGTGGAACAGTGCATGCCAGCAGAAGAGCCCAGCAGCAGTGGTGAGTATAAGACAGACAAGGTACTCAGGGAAGTTACAGCTTTGGACAGCAGGACAACCACTAGTTCTTGCTTTGGTCCGATATATGCCACTCTCCTTTGTGCCATTTAGTGTCACTCATGTAAGTGGGAACTACTGTGCCTGGAGGAACAGCAAGAAGTTTGTACCACAGCACTTCTCCGGGGCTTTATCACATTTGGGTAAAATTAGCATATAGACTTCATGCATTACTGCATCTCTTGGTATTACCTAAAATTGACTTCATGTGCAATACAGCTTTATTGAGGGATTAAAGAGAAAAATGCATAGAGTTTATGGAAGTAACACACTCTCAGACACACATATACTACTGAACATCACCCTAGGCAATTGACCAGCTGATCAAAAGGTCCTTGGTGCAGGCAGAGGCAACCAGAATCCTTGAAGCAGGTAGTCAGGGAAGAGAGGAGCAGACAGACAGGCAGAAGGGAGGGGAGAAGAAGCAGGCAGGCCATTTACAGTTTCAATGACCCTACAGAGATAACCCACTCCTCCCCCTCACCAACTCAAGATCTTGTCCTTTTACAAGATGTTCGGTTTCTAGACAATTCTTAGTCTTTAGTCCTTTCCCCCAGGCTACATATTGCACAATGCTGGGAAGAGTTACTTTCCCAGACGAAGTCAGGTACACTTACCCTGTTGATTAGCTGTTTTTTGTCACTGATACTGTTCTTGCTTAGCTGCTACTTCTTTTCTCTATGCTTAGGGCAGGTTTTTTGTGAGCTCTTAAGGCTGTACTTCTTCAGTAACCAGTAATTGCACATCAATGAGTTCTTTGTAGCCCTGCAGCCTCCATTTTCCAATCCAAGCCTCCATTTCAAAGGCCTTTACTGCTGACACTTAAACCCCCCATCAACAAGACACACCTGGTACCAAGCTCTGGTTCACACAGCAAGTTCTAACAACGAGTTGATAACAAGCTTAAAAACCTGAGTCCTGATGCCTTGCAAAGTTAGTGTAAGACCTGTTACTAGCAATGACAGTATTGTTTTTACTGAGTGATGTTGGATGTTGTTGCCTTACCTGTCTCTAGCTGTCCTTTTCTGGTTGCAGTAGCAAATTTCTAGTCAATTGGTAGAGTAGGGGCTGGGAATGTTTAGGTGGATCGCAGATTCCCTTTTGCCCCATCCCTCACACACCTGGCCTCATGCTTCATCAGTGAAAGAGCAAGTACACCCCAGATCCTGAATGTTATTTTTCCTGGCCATATCTGTGAAGAACTCCTCCCTTAATCTGACTGAGTTTTCAGCAGTGAGAATGTAAGCTATAGTAATGAGAAATTCAGAAACAGAAATTCCTGTTAGCTCCTGTTTTGAGCCTTTTTGTTTCAAAGCAAAAGGCGCTGAACAGACTCTAAATAAACCAGTTTCAAAAGTCCAGTACCACAGCGGTTCGGTGGTAGAAGCCTGTACATTGCAATGCTGCTATAACTGCAACTTTCATTTCTGTATTTCATTTTACCTAACTTTCAAATCTGCTCAGTTATTTCAGCTCTTTCTCGAGGCTGATAAAATGACTGCTAAATAGCAGGAGTTTACACTGGTTTTCCCCCATCTGCAGCACAGCACTGACTAGGTGCATCTTGCTACAGATGATGACTGCTCTCCCTGCTGCCTCTGCATCCCACTAATCTGGTGGCAGACCAAATCAAACACTGAGTTGTATAATCAAGCACTTGGAGGAATATCAACCCTCTTATTACCCTTCAAAAACTTCCTGCCCTGAAGGGGTAGTCTCCCTCAATGAGTTATTCTCGATTCTGCCTGTTTGAAAACAGAGGCTTGAGGGAGAGTGCTCATCTCTGCAGGTAAAACTGCTCGGCTGGAGAAAGGGAGCGCCTTCTCTTTCTGACCAGCACTGTTACCACTAGCACTGGGAACAGTGAGTCCTAAGGAAGAGGTTCTGTCATTCTGATGTGACTTTAGAATTAATTTAATATGCCAAAACTGCGCCAAAACTGCACCAAACCTGCGAGTTACAAAACTGTGGAAGGAATCGTTGCCTACAGCTCCAAGGCTGAGGTATTCTTTAAAAGCACCGATCTTGCCCATAAGGGAAGAGGACAGTATTTTTGGTGGCTGCAAATGCTGGCTTCTCAAGTGAGGAGGATTATTGTCAGGACTTTGCATCGGGCTGGTGCTGCACAGAACCTTGCGGGGAAGCCTTGGAAAACTAGACACCACAGAACAGGAGATGTTTTGTGCATTTCGGTCACAAGACTGCTTTAAAGCATCCAAAACTCCACCATGTTGTTTTTAAAAGTGAAGTTCTGTAGCCCTTTCACCCAATAAATTGAGTGAAAACATCAATGGGGACACAAAGGCCATTGAAATTTCAGATGATGAAATTCTAATTTTCTGAGTCTTCTACTTATGAGAAGACTCAGATGATGTATTTGCTCTCTAAGAGGAGCACCAGGGAACGTGTAGCCCAAATAAGTTGAAAAAGGAGCCCAACTGATTTATGAAGAGGATTTTTTTTACCTGTTGGAGCTCCTTTTCTCTGTTTCTGGAAAAAAAAAATTTCATTGTATTAGAAAAAGTTACAGTAAAGAACGTTGAAATTGCAAGATCTAGCATGCAGGAAGTGCAAGAATTAGTGCTGTGTTCAACTGCAGCCCATCCCCCACTACAAAATAAACATTGTAATGCAGCACTTAATTATGAGGTTCATCCCACCGTGGATATTTCTTCCATTAGTTTGTTTAGTGGCTGTTTGAGCCTACTTACATTTTTAATATCCAGAGCATTGCTGTGACATTGCATCCTGCATTTATATTTGTAGCACATCGAAAAATGATCTCTTTTTAAATCCTCTGCCTGAGAAATTCATTTTGTGCCCTCTCTTATCTCAACTTATTGGAAGCAAATGACAATTTCCAATTTATTTTTTCTGTTACTGTTTTATACAGCTCTACCACAGAGCTCAGACATCTTAAAATGTTGTGAATCTGATTAACCTGAAAAAAATTAACCTATTTGTAATGGCTTTAGTAAATTGCTATCAAAATCTCTTCTGACCTGCTATAGGGCTTTAATGTTAGATTGCTAGAGTTTGAGCTCTTCTCTTGATTGGCTCTATCGTCCTCTTTTTGACGTCTTTTAACAGTTAATGGCCTCCATGTGTACCAATGAGAGTGGAAATATTTTCTGACTGGGTTTCATGAAAAGTCTTTGTACCATTGTAGGCTTCTGTCTCTTTCTGCTATTCCAGCTGCTGGGCCTCGTGTCTGCTTTGTAACGATCAGTTAGCTAGCCAAACTTCCTCGAAGTTCTTTCATCTCACTGTCCCAAATTTTCAAAAGGGATGGTTTAAATCTGGTCCCCAAATCAGGAAGCTCTCCTGTCCAATGCACCTTTTGACCAGACCACACATAGATTTTTTTTTATCCAACCATTCTGGGTATTACTTTCAAAACAGCCTTCCTGACAGGCAGGAGGGTAGGTAGGAGGCAGCTGTTACTGGTGTCTCTCCCTTCTTTCTTGTATGGGTGTTTCTTGGGTATGAAGGGGCTGGGTGCCTCCGTACCTGACTTCTGACAATCACTTTAGTAATCCTTACATGTTCTTCCCTAAGCCCAACGTTCTGCTTCTCTAGAACCTTCTGTTAAAACATACTTAAAATCAAGGTTTTGTTTCTCTCCTGACATAATATCCATGACTCCTGATTTCAAGGAGAACAGGAATATGTTGTTTTCCTAGCTTCACCCATCTTTCATAAATACATCTACCATCTGTCTGTAATGATCGACCTGGACCTTGGTAGAATAGACCAGAATGGTCTGTTTGGTGTTTCACCTTTCTTTCCCAGTTAACTTGGATGCATTAATCTTTTCTTTTTAATAGACTGCATGTCATATTTCCTCTGGGAGATAACTAACTCTCTTGGCCATTACACAACTGGAGTAAAGGATTTTTTGTTTTGTCTTTTAAATACTGACAGACTTCAAGAATACAACCTAATTTTGTTCCCTTCATAACATGGAGGTACGGTTTTATTAGATTTCTGAATCAAGCCCACAGTTTCTGGAGAATGAAGAACCTTTAGAAAGATATCTAGTTTTAAGGTAAAGAAATAAGGTGGAGAAGTCTGTTATAGACCAGCAACAGCCACCCATTAGGACAAATGCCAAGTCTGGAAGCAATGTGGACTGACTCTAACAATGAAGAGCTGTAGCTCTTGATTATTACTAGATTATTTTTTTTTTTTCACTCAAGGACCAAAGTTTTGTTACTGGCAGACTCCCTGAAAGGAAGTAACAGGTAAGTACTCAGGTATAACATTAGTGCAGTCAGGCGATTCTTTTGCATGCAACAGTAGTGCTGAGTTTTATTCTCTCCAAACCTCAAAAACAAGGTGGTAATTTCTTTTGCTATGTGTGGTTACACAATTTAAGGTGACACGAAAGTGAAATTTTAAGCACAGTTTGCAAAAATGTTTACAGTATGAGTTAAGTAGTGGTGAACATCATATGTTTAATTTCAGTAAATTTCTTTACTGAAAGAGTGGTTAAACATTGGGACAGGCTGCCCAGGGAAGTGGTGGAGTCCCCATCCCTGGAAGTATTTAAAAGACGTGTAGATGAGGCGCTTAGGGACATGGTTTAGTGGGCATGGTGGTGTTGGGTTGACGGTTGGACTCCATGATTTTAGAGGTCTTTTCCAACCTTAATGATTCTATGATTCTATGATATGTGTATTTAAACCAAACTGTATTAATTTAGCGACCTTCAAAATGGCACAGACTAAATATATTAAGAAAAGGCGGAAAAAAAATAAACTTACTGGAAATCCCATGCAGGATGTGGGATTTCCAAGAACAGCTGATGCTGAAACATGGAGTGATTGAATAGGAAACAAAGCATTGCCTTTATGTGCACTTTATTATGTTTTAATAGCACAGCATACTTCTCTCAAATGACATTTTGAAAAGCATCACAAAAGCTTGCTTTCAAAATGGAAG